TACAAAGTATACGATCTACTCGGATCGAAATTCTACAGAGCTAGAATCGTCGCCATCTAAGGGTCACGTGAAGACTGGGCCTCGTTCGTGGATTGAGATCTATACAATTCCAACAGAAAGGCTGCAATTCACTGTTTCAGTAGATGGCTGTCTTATTTTGGTCAGTATCTCTATTATACGGAACAAAATAGGTAATTTTAAAGGGACAGCTTTATTAGCATGCAGACGTCTCCAAATTGAACATTTCACCTGCACATTCCGAATAATACTTTTATTGTTGCAGTAACTTTTTTGACAGTAAGAGAACATAACCGCATCTAGGCCTTTTTAATCCACATACAGACGTTAAAGGGTTTTTCAATAAAGGTAATGAAAAGAACATAAGCTATTGCTGATTATGGGACTTTTTACAGCTCAATTTCATGTATGCCCAATAAAATTTATGGAGCAATTGTTAAAACTACGAATGATATTTTATTTATTTTATTTATTTCATTCAAATATTTCTCAACAGATCCAAGATCCAATTACAGAGAACCGCTATACAAGTGACGAAAAAGAAATAGACACACATACGAAGAACAATATGATGGATCGGCAATATTAAAATAACCCTACGTGTTTATATAAGGATTCCAACACAAAGCTTTATCAGTGCAGTAGTAGCCCACGCAAATTAGTATATTCCTGAACGTTAATTCTATTTCTAAAATACATAAAGAAGCATGCTAAAAGGTACTGAAAAGCTAACAAAAGTTTACGTCACTGGATAGCTTTTATATATGACAATATTCTTCATTTATATATGTTTGCTCAATTCAAATTTCAAGGGACGGCTAGCCATGTTAAATCATTTCGTTTTTCTATATGAAGGGGATGCTAGTATAATGTTTGTAAAAGCCTTTGGCTGATAAAACATGGTGAAAAGTTTAAGCTGGACAAAAGTTCACCACAGTCAATCTGACTGCTTAGCAAGCAGTAGCTTTACAAAAATCCTTGGTGTTCAATACTTATCATGTCAAAGTGATCTGAAAGATCCTTCTTTGGATATTTGAATGGAGGATTTGTGGCATATGTAGATATTTTGAAAACTTCGTTTAGATTTTCTTACCATAAACACCAACGGATTATCAGTCAAATATTCTGAGTGAAATGAACGGTGTGCGTCCTTTTGTAGACTGTGGATACCATGAAGTATTCAGGAGCCTATGTGCTTATATGCAAAGTTTGAGTTCATTCCCTTGTTCCTTCCACATCTATTCATATCAAAATTTGACCTGATCACATGCAACAGAATCCAACATAATTAGTAACCGTAGGTTGTTGAGGGAGTTACGCCCTTACCCTATTAAAAGCTATGTCATTCGATATTAGCTAGTAACCCTAAAGCGATCTAAATATACTCTCCGAAGGGCAGTATTTACCCACTGCCACTAAGAGAAAATCCCCAAAATCCAGTAATAATTACTGCTTATCCTTTGTGCGAAGGATAGAAATGGCCTAATTTATTCTTGGGGCTCTATTCTCTCATCGTCAGGGTGGAACAATTGGTTTATAATGTTATATTAAGAGACACTAACAAAGCACTAGAGAAGCTTGACGGTCTTTTGTGCTGTTCTTTGCTGTAACAGTTTCCGTGTTCTATTTTAATAAGGGTATGTATCATGGAGAAATAATTACTATGGGCTAAATGTACAGAGGCCTGTTGTGTTTCTGTTTCGTATGCTTATACTGGACGTTCTTAAGGTTTTGATTTCTTTACGTATAGCTCATGTAACAGTAAGCAAATTTTCCTAGTAACACGTATACCAAAGGTTAAAGATTCCCGAGATACAAAGTTTTAAAAAACTATGAATGAGACAGATGAAATTATTGATTCGATGTTAGCTTGCTGTCGAATTTTCAAGGTTCCACTGATACTTAGTAACTAGCGAGCTGCGTAGGTTTGTTCATATCGCCCAAAGATCATCGAGGTAGATATAGTGGCCAGCCCCAAATATTACAAATTTAGAAAGAAGTTAACAAACTTGTGTTTCAACTTCAAACGGTATTTTTGAGCAAAATATGAGACAACGCAGCACTTATCAAATGAATAGTGAGCACGTTTCTTCAATTTGTTTCTTACGTTTCCACTGCTGTTCGCGGAGATTAAATTTAGCATTTTGTGATAGACAGACAGTCTTCAACATCAGGAATCAACTAAGGGCACATAAGCTTTCGTTTGTGGATTAAGTCCGTCTACTTATCTGGTCATCTGGAGATGCTATAATTTACATATATAATTTTTCCACTGCCTCCCCACTTACATCAGTGCACTTGTTTAATCGGTGCTTAGGCATTCCAATAGCCTTCTGGTAAAAATTTTGTCTGGCAGCTGAAAAACAGCCCCTACCGCAGTGGTTACCTGACGCTCACTTAAAACTTTGTCTCGTAAAGGTTGCTTTAGTTTTAAAGTCTTACGGAATCATTCAGGACTTGCGAATTCGATGGATAATCTACCAACTCAAAGCCTGGTTGGTAAAGGAACCATAAGAACCTATATTTAAGTATTTTTTTCACTAAGATATGTACACAAGTACATTTGTACATGCTAGCAATGGAGACAATTACTAAAGTTATAAATAATAACGTCAAGTAAGTTGTCTCTGCACTTTCCACCACTCAACGCTAACATCAGTTCATAAAGGAGCATTAACTCGGTCCAAGATAGTTCTTTTGTGTTAGTTACAAACATATATAACAAAAAATGGTTCAAGTCAGCCAAACAGGCTCATATACAATTAGTACATACTCCATAGTCCCCATCCATTTAATAACGCTAGCGCTAGTTTCTGCCGTGCCCTAAGTGTCGACCATGTGGCAATGCTGCTGGACCACACCCGTCAATCACGTCATAAGCACCAACCACGATACTATAACATCCCTGCCGGCGATGCTGTCAGACGTAATGCAGGATCACATTGTCCCGAGCGGTCGCGTGTCTGGTCTATAAATGTAAGTTGTAAAGGCGATTGTGCATCGAAATACGAGGAAGTACCCAAAAATAATCGGAATAGCATTGCAGTGGGCGGAGCCTAGAGGCGTACAGCGCAACTCATTACCAGTTCAGTGCCACCTGAGTTATCGATCTGGCTTGTTTCGTTGCCAGGTGCGTGACGAAGAAAAAGAGGTACAGTGGACAGACACCAGCAAGTACCTCGGCGTCAAGATAGATAAGGGTCTCACCTGGAAACACCATATAGAAGCCCAAGTGCAGAAAGCCAAGATGGCAAGAGCCAAGCTAAGACCGATGCTTGGAAGAAGGAGCAAGCTCTCCCTGAACAACAAAATGCTGCTGATCAAGATGGTGCTCCTACCGATTATGACCTACGCGTCAGTTGCTTGGGGCTACGCAGCCAAGACGTGGAAGAAGAAGTTCCAAGCACAACACAACATAGCACTCCGAGAAGCGGTCAACGCACCGTGGTACGCGCCAAACCGAGTGCTATACGAAGACCTGAGACAAGTGCCAGTGCTCGAAGTGATGAAGACCAGAGCTCGGAAGTTCTTCAACAACGCCGAAGAACACGAGAACCAGCTCATCAAGGCCGCCTTGGACTACGATCCAAGGTTCATACATAGGCACAAAAGACTGAAGAGCCAGCTGCTAGAAGATATGGGACACAGCAGCTGATGAGTCCTAAAGAAGAGGGGTAGAACCTCGCGAGGAAGTTACTGCATGCAAGATAGGCAAAGTCCTGTGCAGTACCGGTGGTCAGACGGCGAAGATTTGCCATGCTGAATGCACCGATCTCATTTGAGGTGCGGGGCATTTAGATGGCACTAACAAGCGGGTCTTCTGACGACTTCGGCATTTGTCGGCGTGGTCAGGAGGCAACACTCAAGAAAGAAGATCAAAAAACCGAAGAACCCAAAAGCCGTCTTGGGAAACCTTAATGTGGACCTCAAGTCAAGGTCCCACCGATGGAACCCCAAATAGAGGACGACTCGTAAAACCGGAGAAAGGTACACGAGTATAAATGACGACTTCCGTTCTGCAGCCGTGCTTCCGCGTCGAGATTAGCTTACCACACCTTTTGGCGGGGCAAAATTCCGAGGGGGGTTTGCGTCCGACAGGAACACAAGTTGCAGGAGCGTGCAGTCCACGTACCGCCACTGGGGCCGGAAAGAGTGAGGGTACCTGGACCGGGGAGGTGGTGGGTTCGCTTAGGAACGTTGTGTTCCTGTTCCTTGTTTCGTTCTCCTATAGTCATTATTTTTGCTAGATCTGTTACGTTGCTCGTTTTTTTACGATGGCAAACTTCAGTGACCAGCCTGCAGTTGTGAAATTTTGCTTTCTAATTGGTAAAAATGCTTCTGAAACTGTTTTAGTGTTGTAAGTAGCTCACAAAGATGATGGTATTGGAAAAACTCAGGTGTACGAGGGGTTTGTTCGATCTAAAATGTTGAAAAAATTCGAGAGCTTGTGCTATTTGGAGATTTTAAGACGATTGCGAATCGGCAAAATAGGCCCGATTTGTGGCAGTCAGGAGACTGGTTCTTCCACCACTATAATGCACCTACGCACGCAGCCATCTCTGTTCGACAGTTTCTGGCTAAAAATGGCATGGTTCCGCTGCCTCAGGCACCTTATTCGCCCGATCTGGCTCCGTGCGACTTTTTTATTTCCACGGACGAAAAGGGGCATAAAAGGACGCCGCTTTGACGAACATTGAAGAGGTCGTCAAGAAAAAAACAAGGGAGGAGCGGTCAGATATTTCTAAGGAAGACTTAAAAAAATGTTTGGAGCAGTGGAAGCACCGGTGAGACAAGTGTATTAGTTGTAGTGGACAGTATTTTGAAGAAAGTAACGTTACTTTGTGAAAAAGTTGGAAATAAATAGCTTTTAATAAATAATGCTGGTTTTTGTTTGGGTACCCCCTCGTATATGCTGATAGCGTCAAATTACGAGGGATGTCTTTTAAGTTTTGCATATGGAATTAAAAAAACACGGTAGGTAGTTTTAAATGACTTTTGTTTTTCGAAGTATCCTCCACGAAGATTAATACATATCTGCATGCGCTCGAACCAATTTTTGAAGCACTTATTCCACTCGTTTTCTTGCAGATCCAAAACGGCATTTTTTAATGCGTCAACTGCTTCTTCTGGTGACTGGAACCTTTGACCACGCTGTCTGTTTTTAATTTTCGGGAAAGTAAAGAAATCGTTAGGACTCAGATCGGGACTATATGGAGGATGGTCCAATAATTCCACGTTTTCTTCCGTTAAATACTGCCTTGTTTTTTGGGCTGTGTGCGAGCTTGCAGTGTCTTGGTGGAGGATGATTCTTCTTTCGGAGTTGATTTTTCGAAGCTCGGTGATGACTTTTGGCAAACAAATGGTGGTATACCAATCCGCAGTAACAGTTCTTCGCTCATTAAGAGGAATCGTTGCAATATGACCCGCTTTTGACACAAATGTCGCGACCATCTTTTTCGAAACACTTCGAGAACGGATGACTTTTGTTGGCTTTTCTTCACCTTGGAACACCCAAACAGCCGACTGTCGTTTATTTGCTGGTTCATAACAGTAAATCCACGATTCATCACCACTAACAATGCTGTACACATATTTTGAGTTTCTGGAATTGAAACGGTCAAAGCGTTTTTGACACCAATTAACCCTGGCTGCTTTCTGCTCTTCAGTCAACAGGTGGGGTATCCAACGAGAAACTGATTTTCTTACCCCTAATTCTACATGTAAAATTTTTTGAACTGAGGTCTTTGAGATCTTCAAGGACGCCTCAATCTCGCGATATGTCACATGTCTATCTTCAATGATGTGTTTGCGCACAGCATCGATGTCTTCCTGGGTGACTGCCGTTTTTGGTGCACCCACCCTGGGATCGTCGCTAAGACTCACCCGTCCACGTTTGAATTCTCCAACGGGAAATTGTCGACTGATGTGGCGCTTCGTTGCCGAAAACAGACAGTAACTCAGCAAGGCATTCTTGTTGCGATAATTGTCTCTGAAAGTTGTAATCAATTATGGCGCGAAAATGTTCTCGTTTGAATTCCATTTTTCTAATGACTTGGTGACACTTAAAAATTCACTGTAGTGAGAACACTGCACGAATTGTTGTGAAACTTTGAATCTGTGTTCACTAAAGAGTGAAGTTAAGATTCAGTACTGACGTTCGATCCGCGCGGCCTACTATGTTTCTATATGCAACACTTAAAAGACAACCCTCGTACTGGGGTTGGAAGTGCATATGTATACTGCCAACAAAATGAGATATTCTTTCCCCCACCTCCTCCATCTCCGATTTTCATCCACCATAATTGTTTTCTGAGAATTACCATGATCCTGTAAAACGTCGAACAAACGAAATTTGAACGATGTTCATTTCCCCTCACTACCTGCAACCCAAAACGACCGATTTTCAACTCCTACAAAAATATTTCTTAAAATGTCCTGGAGCTGCCGAAACGCCAAAAAATGAAATTTAAGTGATTTCTATTTTTTTTTTCGTGTTTTAACCCCTATCTCCGCCGTCATCCTTGACCCAGTAGTAACATTGTATGAAAATTCCATCCCAATCTAAGCTATATTTTCCAAGTTATAGGCGGTTCAAAGATTAGCACACTGATGGAAATGAGTGACATGGTTTTTTATAATATGCAAGTCAAATAACAAAAATCATAGTATCTCGTTTTTCCCGATTACAATACGTCCCCGTCAGTAGCCGTGGGGAGTAGTACATAATACTTATAACAATATATTACAAACAGGAATATATTTAATACCACAGGTACAGAAACACAGATAGAATAAACAACTAGAGCCCCTTCCCACTTCAGTTGGCCCAACTATTGAAATCTTATTTTTTTTCTTATCAAACACAAATAATAAAAATGTAGCAAGGTGTTATAGGTTTAAAATATTAACAATGAATATTTTGATGATATATAGTAGAAAACCCCGACTTTATCACTCCCTAATCAAATTTGCAGCATAAAAATAACACATGTTGCAATTACACCCTATTTTCAATTCAATGCAAAATAAGTTTATGTGTAAAATAAAAGCCATAAAAATTGTTTTTATTAATCACAGCTGTCAGAATTCGTTTAAAATAGTTTTGGGAAGTTAAGGTTTTCAAAATGGGTAGAGTAAAGGTTATTAGTGAGAAAATTCGGTTACTGATAATTAAATTTTTTAATACTGGGAAATCAAACTCAGAAATTGCAACTTTGTTAGACTTATCGTGGTCCACAACTCATAGAGGCCCCAAACTGGGATTTAGCACTTGCAAGGTAAGTTTTCTTATAAAAAAAAGTGAAGTAAAAACCCTAAAGTTGCACAACTTGTTTATAGGCCAAAGAAAAGCCACTATTAACTCCATTGCAAAAGAAAAATCGGCTTAGATGGGCTAAAGAACATAGACAATGGACACCTCAACAATGGTGTGCAATACAATGGAGTGCAGTAGAGTTATTCGCAAAAAAATTAAGCATTTCATGTTAACTGTCTGAAGAGAAAAGTGAAATTTCCAGCATCCATTATGGTCTGGGGCAGTATATCATCAAAAGGAGTTGGAAAACTTCATTTTATTGATGGAAATGTGGATACAAACAAATATTTGGCAATTTTAGCAGAATCGCTTTTACCAGTGATGAAAGAATGTTTGACATCCGGCCAAGATTTGGTGTTTCAGCAAGATGGTACAGCGTGCCATACCTCATAAAAGGCTATAAAATGGATGGAAGAAAATAATGTATCACTTTTGAAATGGGTTTCTTGCAGTCCAGATCTGTCACCTATTGAAAATTTGTAGCATGAGATGAAAAAGGTTCTACGACAACATCCTGCTCGTACAGTCACCGAACTGAGACAAAAGCTTCAAGGAATATGGGATTGTTTTACACCAAATTTTTGCCAAAACTTGGTTAACACTATGCCCCAAAGAATTTCAGCCGTAATAAAAAATGAAGGTGATGTTACCCAATGGTAATCTTTCAATTGTTGCTTTGTTAACTTCGCGCATTTATTCGCACATTGTTTATTTGTTCAGATGTTCTATTAGTTATAGGTCTAAGTGATTTCAAATATGTATCTAAAATGTTTTTGAGAGAATAAATTGTTTTAAAAGTAAATAGTTTCGTCATGTTTAGTTTATAAAGGCATATTTTGGTACAAATCTTGAAGTGGGCCAACTGAAGTGGGAAGGGGCTCGTATATTCAAATTTACGTAGTATCCATATACCGTTGGGCAGAGTTGAAGACGTTATTTATTTGTTACTGTAATTATTGTCTACCATTCAAAAACGACTACACGTCTAGTTTTTCACCTGTTTAGGTGAAATGTTATACAAATGTCTATCTAGAGAATTCGTAACAAAGTTTAGTAACCGGTATCTAGGGACCTGATCAAAATAGCTGTTCCGCTGCCATAGCGATGATGGGACCCATTCCTTCTGGAAGCCTGATTATTTTATCATTTCTACGGGGTGTGACAGAATGTATAATGAAGGCTATCTTGCGTCTTGCTGATCTTTGACATTGCGAACGGCTTCATTATATTTTTTCCTTTATCCGACTTGACTGTTAGTTAAGGTACTTACTATAATACTAGGTCTGCCACACCAAACTTAGTCCTTAGACAGTGATGACGTTCATGTTTTTGTTCGAAAAGGAATATGATACCAGTCCGCAATATTCTAGATCGGATTTAACGTGATTGCAAGAAGCTCACTGGAGTAACAGAAAGAATTCCTAAGTTGGGATGAGATATCGTGAATTACGATGAATAACCTTCGACTGAAGGACATACAAGCAAGATGCCACAGCTACTTGAAAGCTTCTACGGTAATCATGAGCAATTTGTGTTATCCATTTCAAAATTTAACTGAGTAGGGATCATTTTTTATCTTTGGAAGATGCGGGAACTGTACTATAACAGGTAAACAGCACAATACATTCTCCGACCATCCGATCATCTGATTCCTTTGTGTGGATTTTGCAACCGCTCCAAATATTACCTATCAGATAAATTAACTTTTCGCTTCGTGTACGGCGCACCGATTTTTCTGTTCATTCAACGATAAACGTTTCGTCGGCTGGACTGGCCACTGGTAAATTGTAATTTTAAAGATCACTACGGATTGCAGTTCTTTGCTGTAATCAACTTTTATGTTGTATATCGCTGTTCGACGTGTAGATTTTTTATTGAGTTGGTGTGACCGTTGATTGTACTTTTATAAAAAGAAGAGACATAACATAGTGGGAACAAATCCGTTAGCCCTTTATGTACCTAACCAGTAATACATGTCGCTGATATTGGTTCAAAAAGATGAGCACAACTTGTTATGTCACACTAGAATTCATTACATCACTACTATGGTGCATAATTCTCTATAGAAACTTCGGAAATGATTTTTTGACACATCTAGCTGATAGATAGGAAAGGTTGGGAAATCCCGAAGCTGGAGATACTACAGACCAAAATAAGTGAATCGACCGATCAGATCTCGTTATAGGGAGGTTTTCTAGTATAAGAAACAAGAATCCGTTATTTTTTAGAGCCAAACTTCTAGAGGGCACCACTTACTGCACTATTTCGGTAAATAACTTATCATAACTTTTTTGTGCTGCCCTGTGTACAACAACTGACCGAAAACTCTTATTTTCTCGTATTTCCACAACAAAAAAGGTTCACTTGTTAGGAGTGTCTAAAGCTAACAGTTTTCGAGATATTTGTTTTAAAATGTTCCAATGCATTATTTGTACCTTGATAATAAAACACCTTTATAACATAATAATCAAGTTGCTTTGGATAATATCTGAGTAGCGTTACTATGGTTTCTGACGTTTGTCGTAATATTGCTTTAAACTTCATGAATAATTTTAAGTTTACAATAGTTAAATTAAACATCATGGAGTATACGATTGATGAATATTCTCATATGCATTTAATGTACGGATTGGCAGGATGTTATGCTTTAAAAGCACGAAGATTGTAGCCTTAGTTTGAGTAGTAAAAACCATTTGGATTTTAGATAGTTTTGCTTAAAATATGGACCGAGGTAGTTAAGCTCCCAGAACTGTACGTACAGCTGAAGTTGAAGAAAATGTCTCAGATGCTGTCTTTGAAAATCCTACAGTTGGGGTTAGGAACGTAGCTTGAAAATTTCAAGTTTCAAATACCATTTTTCAAGAGCAACTGCTCCATCCATACGACCTGCAAAAAGTACATGGTTTAAGTGCGGATGATGACCCCGTAAGGTCAAAATTTTGTACATGACTCTTCAGGAAGTTTAACCACGACAATGGTTTTACTTCGTTGATATTATTTTCGGGCGAAGCAGGTTTGGAAAGTATGGGCCCATTAACTCGCATACTCTTCACATTTACGCAGACGAAAATCCTCATGCAATAATACAAACCCGCCACCAAGTACAATTTCTAATTAATTTATGCACATGAATAATTGGACAATATTTAATAGGACCCATT